CTTTCCAAACTCATTAAATAAAAGTAAAGGAGATGTAATAGTTATGTGCAATTCAGCATCCCTTTGCATATATATAAAAAAGACCTTTCATCCTTAAAATAAAAATGAAATAATTTTATAAAGTACCAAAACTTAATGAAAGAGAAGCCATAGAACATACAGCAAGTGAATATAAAGCGTCTTTACAAGAAAGAAAAGAAAAGTTATCGCATAAGTCAATAGTTATATGTTTACAATTATATATATATATATAAGTCTAAATTGAAAACTAAAGGGAGGTTATTGCAATAGATATAAACCAGTCACCAAAGTTTCATGAAAACTGCTCAAAACATTCTTGAGTTTTTGTCCAAAAACTGGTTTATATATATATAAACAAGTCTAAATTGAAAACAACGTTCAAACCTATGATTGCGTTGGATAAAAACCGCAATTTTTATACGTGTGCATGCAAAACAAATTTCTTGGTAGAGGGGTCTAAATACAACACAAACAACATTTTCCAAAAGACCAAAAACGTGAAAAAGTATATTTTAACAAAACGCATTTGACTAGCAGGTCGAACAACTGATGTTCTTAAACCCTGCTGACTGCCATTGGCGATTGCCAAATTAACGGATCACCAGATGTAACAAAATGGATCTTATAATAATATATATATATATATATTGTTAAAAAATATACTTTTTCACTTTTTGGTCTTTTGGAAAATGTTGTTTGTGCTGTATTTAGACCCCTCTACCAAGAAATTTGTTTTGCATGCACACGTATAAAAATTGCGGTTTTTATCCAACGCAATCATAGGTTTGAACGTTGTTTTCAATTTAGACTTGTATATATATATATATATATATATATATATATATATATACTTTATTATAATTTAATACCAAACAGAGAACAATAAACTTGCGGAAAAGATTGTATACCGCAAACATGAGGTGCAAAAATTTGTACACCATATCCGGATTTCGACAATTAATGTCTCTTCAGTGATGTTAGAAATCGAAACGGTATTTGGAATATATATATATTAAGTACGTCTGAACCAGTGACGTGTTGTTTAGACGAATTATATATATATATATTGTCAGATACAATTTGTTTAAGTTCAAAATTTACTATTTTAATGTTTCATTTCTATGGTCAGTCAATATGTCTTAATAAACTGGAGAAACAAATAAAGGTTTAAATCAAAATAAAATAATGTATATTTTTTTTCAAATTTGTGATACAGAAATACTTTATTTTTTTTAATTTTCATCATCTGGACTAAAGTCATCTTCTTTTAATATTCTTTCAATTATTTTTAACAAAATTTGATAGTTTTTTTATTTCTTTCCCTTTTTCTTTAACCAATTTACATGAAAGTTTGGCGAATTGTTTATATCTATAAGTTCCCTTACGATTTATATAAATTTTACATTTTACATTTCCGAGTAATGTTCCAGTTTTCGGACAATAACCCAAGAATGTTTTGAGCAGTTTTCATGAAACTTTGGTGACTGGTTTATATCTATTGAAATAACCTCCCTATAGTTTTTATAAATTTCTGATATGACATTGAGAAGTTATGGAACTTTATTCATCGAAAAAAGCGACAGGCGTATCATGCGCTCATGCCACAGCTCTTCATTAACTTTTAACCTGTAAAGGAAAATTAGTATTTAGATTTTTATGTAACTTTGTAATTTAATGAAATAGAGCAGCCCGCAACCCGCAACCCGCAAAATTATGATACTGATGTAATTCATGGTTCTGTTCTTTTATCAAATTTTATCATTCTTTGCGATACTCGACAAGAGAACTGAAAACAAATTAAAGACCTCGTTCCATTATCAAGACTTTTGTAGTAATCTTGACGACATAAAAATTGAAATGAACAAAGAAAAGAAATAATTTAGAACCACAACTTCGCCTAAAATGAAATATAATAAAGATGTCAATTGATTATATGCATATTAAAAGCACTCTTTGATGAAACTATAATTAGAAATACACACATCACTCAGTGACACATGTACTTCATTCATATCGCATTAGACCATACTTTGATCCTAAATTGTTATGGGTTCATCACCTAAAATGAAATATTTGTTATGAGGGTCTGGATTAAGGGTGTCTTACATTTCTGTATTCTTTAATTTATAAGGTTGATTTTTCTCTATCATTTATATTTCTCTATTCTTGATTTGTTTGGCCAATTTTTTTCTTTTTCTTTCTGGTTTTTTTTTGTTCATTTTTCTGTAGTACTAGCACATTTTTCTGTATTCTGTAAACCCCATACAGATCCTCTTTTATTCATAAATGTTTCATTAAATATCTTTGTTTTTAAATTAAAATTTGATAGTAAGAGAAATGAAACATAAAATAACTTTTTCCTTATTTTACATAATAATTAGATGTTCCAGCTTCAATGTCAATAATTTTGATATGTTTATCTTTTTTTTCGATTCTTACATTCAATTTATCATTAATATATTGAAATATAACTAAATAATGTGTTCCGATAAAGGTTATGAACGCGTATACGGTCCAACATCCTGTCGAGACTTATATATTGGCATTGCACAAATTCATGATTTCTCCAACGGTTTATGACGTCTTTCAGTCTGGGAAACATGAGTTTTGTATTAGATGTAATTGGCTTTGAACTATATCTTTCGGCCCGTAAATCGGTACTTTGTATCTTTAGTCTTTTTGTTACATGTTTTTGTGCTTTGTAACCTATAACGGGACCAATATTACGCCCCCAATAACCACGAGGTACATTAGTTTACACCCCATGGGTGACTGTAGAATAGAAATATGATCACTTTGGTCTTCTTCCGATCGGCAGTCAAACCCTTTCCAAAATGAGGCGTCCGTTTGGCTGTGCGTGATGTACAAGTACTCAGCCGTCCGGTCAGAACAAGGGCCAGGGGCGTAGCTAGGTATCCAATAAACTGTAGGCACAAATTGCGGCAGGGGGTCTGGGGGCCGCTCAAACGGAAAACAATTTTCAGCATTTTAGTTGCAAAATTTTGTGTACAAAAAAAACATGAAAACTGGTCATTTTATCATGATAATATATACATGAACAAAATTTCGAAGAAATTATGATATACATGATTTTACAATTACATCTGACTGATGGATTAACCGGCAGTACAATCGGAAATATATAAAAAAAAAATATTTACAATATGCATTGCCCAGCGTGGATCAGCATAGCCCTTTATTAAGCAGCACAACCTGCTCAGTATTTTCATATCTATTCTTTTCTGATTGAGGATAATTGATATATACGTCAATTGATAGAACATATTGACGATCCTACATTTAAAAGAAACCTTCACCGTCCCCTGGCTACACAAACACATACACACACAGTCGATGCCTCATGCAGAAGTTCTGTTCTGTTCATACTATCGAACAAAATTCAAGAAATTCATATTTCCTTATATCCTGTACTGTAAAATCCCTACCTGCATAGGAATTTGAATAATTATGGTCATTACACGTAGATCTGAGAGTACTCGAAGTTACTGAAAGCTAGTTGATTGATTGATTGATTGATTGCTAAACGTCCAGTGGCAAATAGTTCATGCATGTTCAGGACAAAAACAAATTTACAATAAATACAACAGGTAGCTAGGTCCTGTAATAGGGGTCGTCCAGAACGAAAGTCTGGAAATTTGGAAACGCCCATCTTCGCTTACCAATAAAGAGTTACGATCCACTTCCCTCCTCTCCACCCTTGGCAGATTAAGCCAACATTTGTGATAACAATGTTGCGCCAGCTATCGGTAGATTAAAGTCACACCCATTCCTAATACAGTATTCTTGACCAATGGTAGCACTTGAACTCTTCAATCTGGAGGTAAAAACACGGTAGCGTCTAGATTCTACACACTTAGTAAAGCAGGAAACGAAAATATACGTTGATATTAATGCATTTGTGCAAGAAACATACACAGAAACTTCTATTAGTTGATTAAAAACATTCAAATTGTCACTAAATATAGTCGTATGTTTAGAGATGTAAAGACTTGTTGCACAATAAGCACGTGGCAATTGTTTACATACACTTTCTACATTTACACGTGATCATGTTATAGGCGCTTTTTGATTGGATGCAGTGAGTTTCGACTGCAACCAATGAAAATCATTACCTTGTGTCTCCGAAATTCTATCTCAATCCGCCAAGGGTGGAGAGGAGGGAAGTGGATCGTAACCCTTGGCTAGCGAAGATGGGAAACGCCATGCATTGGAAAATGAGGGTTTATTGGATTGGAACAGATATTCTGCCTTTCAGTAGACCACCTACGAACCTCTTAAAGAGTTGTTGCAAGTTTCTTAACGTGCAGAGAGCGTGGCATTCTCTCTACACTAGGCATCGGATTTAACGTCCCCATTCTGACCAGACGTGACTGCGTATTTATACATCCTGCACAGCCAAACGGACGCCCAACTTTGGCAAGGGTTTTACTGTAGGTCGGATGAAGACCAAGTGGAAAGCTAGTTCAAAGCCAACAACAGCTTATTAAAAAAAATCATGTGTCTAAGTTGAGGTTCTTTAAGTTTTTGTTGATGGAAGTGAAATGATCTGAACCAAAGTTCTAGTTTATAGTTTCTATATAAGGGGGAATATAATGACATACAATTCTATCCAATACTCCATTCACTAAGGATGATAGACTAGTGTACACATGACATTCGATAATTAAAGAGTTTTGACGACTTCACTAGCGTGCATCTACAGATAACGTTGTTTATTATTTTTTACTAAAGAATAAAGAATGTCATATGGCCCCTTGTTTTCCAATAAGAGAAGGTAATTCTTAATCGATATGAAATAAGAACCCTTGCAACGACGTTGAGGGGTCCGTAAGTTTCCCTTTTGCAAGTCAAAATTCAAGTTCTGGAAAATGTACATTTTTAATAATTATTTTTAAAAGTGTTAAGAATGAAGACAAAATTAAAATATTCAAACTGGCAACCAAACTGACAAGGAAAGTATAAGCGTATTTCAATTTATTAAACACTATTAAAACAAAAAACCACATGTGTAACATATACATGTATTTGTAAGAGTAAACAAATCTTAAGTCTCTAATTGTCATTTACAATTTAGTTTTCCATGTAGAAATATCTAAGAAACTGTCATCACTCCTTGGCTTGAATTTCTTATATTCTTCTTTCATATCGTTATTATTATTATTTGCATAAAGTATAGCTATAGTTGTTATGGTGAATATTATCTGAAAATAAGGAAAAAATAACATTATAGTGATAAAATACTTTAAAAAAAAATATTAAAGCAACACAATACAAAAATATTGTCTGACGAATAAAACTTTCCCGTCAGAATAGATTTGTATACCGATGTATAGAATCGTTAGAAGGGCAGCAAACGTGACACAAAAATATTATAAAAGACTCTTAAGCAAGAGGGTGTGTCCTCCTTTTCGCCTTCTTTTCGGTTTTTTTTTTTTAATTGTATGCATATTGTATAATATATGTGTCGTAATTCATGATTCTTAATTACTATAAGAGACATGTATGTAGAGTTAAGATTGAAGAGCTTAAATAAACATCTAGCATATCCACCGTCAAAATGAAACGAAAAATACATGGCAGAAAACGTCATGTTCTGTCGGTGCATCGAACACCTTACACTTAAGGTACTATATATATAAAGTCATGGCATTAGATAAAACAGTAAATCTTTAAAGTTTTGTTTTTGATACATACCTGTATTAATAAACAGATAGATAGAATAGGTACTGTTACTGCAAGATTGCCTACTACCATATTCCACATCTCATCAAAACAGCCCTGAAAGAACAAAGACCAACATCATTGTTGTGACTAGATGCATGTTCTTACGTATTATTAAAAATTAGAATAAACTCCATCATTTTATTTTTTTAATAAAAGGAAGTGATAGTATACATGATCAATATGACTTCAATCCAACGACAAAAAACAAGAGTGCAGTCTTAATAATAGGCAGATGTATATACAACTGACTCGAGTCTAAGAAGTTGTAAATGAATTGAACATAAAAAAAATCAAAGATCTATCATCAACGGGGTACATAAGAATTTCGTTTACTACTATTATTTTATGTATTTAGTTTTCATTAATAAATCACGCTTTCAATATGTAAAACGCTTATTTTTTTACTATAGTCATATGACATATAGTGTGTGTTGGCTATCATAAGTAAACATACCTTGTAGAAGTTATTGGTTTTGCCTGACAGTGGAATTCTGGCGCAGGTAAAGTCTTTTGATGTTGGTAAGCTTCTACAACAGCTGATTGGTGTTGCTAGGACGACGTTCATGTCTGTATATTCACGCACCCATTTCGTGGCTCCCATGAAATCATGGTAGCTGTCGACGCCACAGCAAGAAAACTGAAACAACGTCAAATATCAATCACTTGATTGCAATATACTTAATATACTAACACATTTCAAATCGGAAACAATCGAACGCAAATAATTTAGTTAAGACACACATAAGGTATCATTACTCGATGATATACTAAATAATGATTGGCAATACAGCACAAAGCCATACAACACATACAAAATGAACAATTAGATTGCCCTTTAGAACGGAATACTGAAAGTGTAAAAAAATGTTCATGAAAAAAAACACAATGGTTATTTTTGACTGGATATTTTTTCTCTCTTTTTATTCATTATCAGATCGTTGTCAAAAGATATTTTGAGGAACTGATCAGTGTGTATAGTCTCCTAGTACTACAGACATGTCTACCATAGGTCTTCTTTACAGATGTCTTACCTTTTGATGAGCGAAATTCCAACCAATAGATACAGAATTGGTTCCATTAAGTCCTTTATAATCTGATTTTATCTTTGACTTCAGGGCATCTTTAATTGGATCTGTGAACTGAAAGATAAATTGATTTAACAATATGATTTTGTATTGTCAGTTGAAACAGTAGTAAATACAGAGCTGTAAGGTGTATTTTTGGAACAAATTGCAAAATTGTAAATATCATTATCACTATTAAACTTTTTACTACAGTAACCACTTATGAAAATAATAGATTAAGCTGTTACTTATATCTCGAGAAAAAAAGAAAAACATATTTTGGATATTGAATTTGATAACGGCCATAATTCAATTTGTTTTTCTTTATAGAAATTTGATTAACATGTGCAATGTTTGTATTCTTATGATTTAATGTAAGCTGTGCTTTCTATCTCTATTCTCCTGGTATATAATAGTTTGTCTAATTTTTCAAATGAATCAAGTAGATTTGCAAAACTCATGCTGTAATATCCCACAGGCATAGCTGACATTGGACAGGTTTATTTCGGAACATTTTTATTAAAAATTTTGTATGTTTATCCCAAGCTTAAAGCGTTCTAATCCGTGGTTTTTTACCAAAGCCGCACGAAGAGGATCAATAATCAGGTCTACTCTAACATTGCATTTAGGTTGATTTTCTATGCACTTTATATATATATATATATATATATATATATATATATATATATTTAGCTAATATAAATGTGTGTATGTGCGTGATTCTTACCAGTTCTGGTTTATAGTAGAAGATAGTTAAGGTAACAATCTGTGTTATCATCAATACAATAAGTATCACACCATAGGTCAGGAGAACCCACGTTATTTCTCTTGTAGCACCCAAAATTCCAAGGAACGATATAATGCATATCAACACTCCACTGACCATTAAAGCCAATGGCAAGTAGCCGGCAAATTCTGACAGACTGAAGTCTAAAGTACGAGTTGAAAATCCAGCCCCGGACAAAGATGTCTCTAAACTACATATTGTGTTCGAGTAATAACTGCTAAACACGTCTACAAATTGAATGAGAAATCCGAAAATTGTCAATGCTGCTCCAACTAACTGAAATAAAAAATATTGAAATAATTTAAATTAAGAATGAAACATAAATAATAAATTTCAAAATATTAAATGCCTATTGCCAAAAAATAATAAGCACTCATTGGTTGAGGGATTTTTTTTAGTTGATTTTTATAATTCAAACACGTCATCTCATATTCACAACCAGCCTCACGTTGTTTTTTTATATCTATGTGTGTGTCACGTTGTTTTTTATATCTATGTGTGTGTGTTTTATATAAATCTCAGTGTATAATTTTTTTCGAAACATGATTTAAACATAGTCTAGACAAAAAATGGCTCACATAGAACATTTCGTAAGAGGGGAATCAAAATCTACATACATAAATAGTAAATTTCTAGGACTTATTTCTTTTGCATAAATTTGGTCACAGATAAGAACAAACTTTCTTCTTCAAACTTTGTTTGAATCCATTTGGAAATGAATTGCACTAATAAATGACCCTCTGCCGTATACAGCCTCACTTTTATTTCTACGGAACATTATATGATTTTAAAGTATGAACAGTATAAATGTTAGTGCATCGTTACTGTAAACTTTAAAACTTAAAGATATGTTATTAGGATACATGTGGCTATTTCATACAATCGTGTTCCAAAAAATAATAATCAGACTTACCAAAAAGACTGCATTAGTTAATCCAAGAAATAACCGTTCAGCAACCAGAAACTTCCCCATGATAAATAATGTGTGTCCTTATGCTCTTGAAACAAATATACACTTTTTGAAAATCGATGTCTCCTTTATATATAAAGTTTTAATTCGAAGAAATATGTAACGTTACTATGGAAAAGTGGCCCCAGGTAATTTTATCATAATTGAATTAGAAAAACTTTAATCTTATTGAAAAATATTACATGTTATTGTTGACACCCCTATTTGAATAGCCTCCAATCCAAGTCGTGACATGTTCTCTAATTATATCCGCTTATTAGTCTTATAATTGTAGACAGCAATCGCGCCTAATTAATCAGAAAATAATTGATTGCAAAAAAATAATAAAAAAAAAAATTATTGGTTAATATGCATGTAATGAATAAGTATTATTGTTACCAAAAAGTAAAAAAATCAACACCACGTACGGTAGGAGAAGTAGTATAAAAATGCAAAAAAATGCGTAAAAGATGCTTAAATTGCATCCAATTTATTGTATGAAATGTCTTTGTTTAAATAACAGGATCGTAAAGTACAGATACAAATATCAGCTTGAATCTACATTTCGTGCCCTTACCAAGTCAGGTTATCCGGTCCATCATTGCTTGTTGCATTTCTCTGTTAGTACGTAAATTTGATTTTTTTTAATATTTGGACCGTGAGCATTGTCGGAAAATTTTAACTACCACATTCTAAATCTTCTGTTACTGCCTCTACATGTAAAACACGCCCTAATAAACTCATATAAAATATGACAGAAGAGACTATTTTTTGTTCCCTTTTGTTACTTTTCTTCTTGTTCCCTTGGTCCCTTTTTACGGTGTATATATTTCCCAAATCGTTCGCTTTGCCTAAGTCCAATGTTGCGTTTTACGGAAGCGTATAAGGGACATAGTAAAGTCGAAATTTGACATTTCAAATCTTAAAATTTCGACTTTTACTTGAAATTTTAACTTTTAAAATCTTGAAATTTTGACTCTCTAAAATCTTGAAATTTCGACTTTTTAAAAAGTATAAATTTGGACTTTTTTTAACTCGAAATTTCGACTTTTCTTAAACGCAAAATTTCGACATTGTTTCAAAACTCGAAATTCCGACTTTTCTTTAACTCAAAATTTCGACTTTTTTTAAACTTGAAATTTCAACTGTTTAAAACTGAAAATTTCGACTTTTCCTCAGTATTTATACGCTTGCGATAATCACATTCACAGTCATTCATATCAGCAAGCGGAGAACCAATCAATCATAAACCTGATAAGCATTTTTCAATAAACTAAACCATTTTAAAGAGGTTATTTTAGGTAGAAAATCTTTCTTTTGCGGAAGAATGAATAGAATAGTTTTCACGTACAAATAATTGCTTTAAGTCTGGACGTCAGATATGTGCATCATGACAACCCCGACACACCTATATAACGCCATACTTTTATTCAACAGTCAAATATATAAAAGACAAGGGTTAATAATTGTGTCATAAGAATGCCAACGTGTAGAGTTTAATCTATGTTCCAGAAAAAAGAACCAACATTTCAAAATTCCAAAAATAGAAAACTGAGCAGCTCATGAGTCGTCCTGAATATGCATGGCATATTTGCCACTTGATTTACCATTGTCTGAACAAGGCAAAGTCAGTGACTTGCTTTTGGGAAACCAAACAGACCTTTAAAACCAACCATAAAACATGGGATGCTAAATGTCCTCAGATCTCACTATCTTATGACAGTGTCGTGGAAACTAAAACATGGAATATAAAAAAAACAACATTTTTTTCTGTCAACATGCATGTTTTCCCGAATGAAACTCTTCAATATTAAATGCTAATCCGTATCATTATTTAAGAATAAAACCAATTTCTGAAAATAAATTGCCAAAATGGATGACGCTTTAATAATTTGCGTCCATGCCTCCTCCTTCTAAAGATGTAATAAATGTGTTTGAATACTAACATCAAAGTTTAGATACTTAGAAAAAGTCGAAATTTCGAGATTTCAAAACTCAAAATGTTAACTTTAGTGTCGTTTTGAGATTTTAAAAAGTCGAAATTTTGAGTTTTAAAAAGTAAAACTTCAAGTTAAAATCAAAATTTCGAGATTTGAAAAGTTGAAATTTTGAGTTGAAGTCGAAATTTCGAGTTTAAAAAAAGTTAAAATTTCGACTTTTTGAAAAGTCGAAATTTCAAGATTTTAGAAAGTCAAAGTTTCAAGTTAAAGTCAATTTAGAGATTTTAAAAATTAAAAGTCGAAATTTTAAGATTTGAAATATCAAAATTTCGACTTTGAAAAAAAAAAGTTCACTGCCAATTTTATTTTTACTATGTTCCTAATACTCTTCCGTACTTTTTTAGATTCCTAGGTATAACTGGTAAATTATGTAGTCGGGGATTTCGTTAACAAAAATTACTTGAGACTTAAGACTTTTCTTTATATTCTTTCTGACTTCACACAGGAAATTCGTAGAAAGAAGAAAAAGTAGTTAGCAGTAACCTTTATCTTCACTCTCAGCTATAAAGATGATGTTCTCTAACTAAACAATTCAGAATTTGGTGACCATGTTGAAAGCATCTATCCCATCGAACTTGGATAAAGGATACAACAGATACAGTTAAGTCTGCCTCATATCTTGACTTACATCTAGAAATTGACAATGAGGGTCGGTTAGACACAACTATACGACAAAAGAGATGATTTTAGCTTCCCAATTGTGAACTTTCCATTTTTTATTGACTTGGACAATCTCCATACTTTTATTCATCAGGGCTCACAAGCTCGTGACAACACACCATAACTGCATGTGGCATAAAGTGCACAGCAATCGATGTACACGCTTTACTGCTTGCAACTTTAAAAAATGTGGATACTTGGTTATCGCTTCACATGGATTATTTGGTGGTTGAAGGTTCAATGTTTTATCGCCAAATAAAAATGATAATTAGCATGGATACACCACTGGATTCATTCACATAATGAGTTGCCTTCCCAGTTTTTTGCATATGACACACATCATTCTTTTACCTTAATAGACACATATTTTGGGATCACCAATGTTAGTTCTGTACCGGGGGTTGTAACGAGGGTAATTCGTTTGATCAAACAATAATGTTCTAATTCCTATTTTGTTCTAATACCTTTCAAGATACAACCATTGCAGTTTTGACAAATTCTGATAGATATTTTGTCTTTGATTTTCATCCAAGTTTTTATGACTATGCTTAACAAAATTCAGGAAGTCAGTATGCGGAGAAAGGTATGATTCTGAACTGACTAACTAATATAACAAATACGCTTCAGCAAATTCCAGTCTTGAACAATCTAAAGAACATATACATTGTCAATTTCGAAGTCAGTATGGCAATTATTACCTCAGCGATACTTTAGTTTCACCACGAAAGCTTATAGGACACATTTATTGAGGTCTGGTCTACCTCCGATAAAGTTAAATTGCTTGTCTGTTCAATATTTCTTGAATAAAAAGCAGTTAAAAAGTTTGCTTAGTTAACTTTTGTACAGCTAAGAACCGCACCAATCTGTAAATCTGCTCAAAATTGCAATCCCAATAAGAAATGCGGAAAATGAAAATTACCAATAGTCTTGGTCATATGCACGTCTTGTACGAGATTGCTATGACGTTTGATCGCCATTTTGAATTTGCTCAGGCCGTGGTCGAGCAATCTCGGACTAAAGCAGGTAATGACGATAACGAAAATGCTGACTTGGTACACTGAAACAATTATTGCTATAAGTTCACAAAAGTTACAGGCAAAACAAAATCACTCTCCTTTCTTGAAGGAGATATAATTTCATTATAAATTGTGTGTAAACTATCGCTTTACATAGCCAATAAACCAATCATTTCACAGACATTGACATAATCTACATAATGATAAATGGATAATTTGTGCAAAGCGCAAATTGATGTAGTTTTGTTTGGAAGCAATATTTTACTTGTTTATTATTATTTGAAATTGGCTCCGAACTAGAATTCAAGTACACCGAGATCGGTACTTTGTGTCCTTTGTCTTTTTGTTAGTTGCTTGTTTTTCACTTCGAGTCAATCTAATCTGTAAAACCATTTCTGATGGATTCGCATAGTTTGTTCATATGTACTGCTGTGACAGCAATGTCCTAGGGTAGAGGAGGCTTGAGCGCTCCAAAACATGTTTAACTCCGCCACATTCTTTTATGTGCCTGTCCCAAGTCAGCTGCCTGCAATTCAGTGTTTGCTGTCTGTTGTGTTTTTTTGGTTCATTTATCTTAGCATAAATCGGTTGATAATAAAGTTTTCTCTTTTTAATCATTCCAAATTTTGTCATGTCGGGGGGGGGGGGGGGGGGGGGGGGGGGGGCTTTTTATAGCTTACTGTTTGGTATAGTTTTCCTAATTTTTAAAGGTCGTATGGTGACCCATAACTTACTTCCTTGCCATTTTGTCGCTGGTTGATAAATTTCGAAATTGCAATCTAACATGTACAACATCTCCATCTCTTTAACCACGCTGAAGTACGTCCATTATTCATTTTTCATTATTCAAAATTCAATAATGAATAATGAAATAGTTCACTATTCACTATTCAATATCAAGTGATGAATAATGAATAATGAAATAGTTTATGTTTCATTATTCAAGTTAAAGCGGTGAATAGTGAAATAAAAATAAAAAAATTGACTGTGACATTTTAGCTATATCCCGTATTTATAGATTAGTCTTCTTGGTGTTATCTAACAAATATTTAAATTGATATCAGAAAAAATAAATAAAAACACTCTTTAAATATTAATTTGATTTATTTATCTGGTCCCTAGTTTCGGAGGATAAACTAGTGGGTTTTCCTAACTATTTTTAACAGGAATTCCTTGGTTCAATGTATGGACGACCTGAATACCAAAACATATATTTATAAATTAAAATACTCTACGTGGTCTTTTTTTTATTTTCACTGGACCTTTGCTATTCTTCATCCACTAATTATAGATTTAACAAGTCGATTGTTCAGCAATGACCATTAGAGGGGTTACGGAGGACCTAAATGCCAAAATACGCGTGAAAATTAAGAAATAGCCAATTTTGAATAATGAAATGGATATTTTGAATAATGGAATGGACTGCTGCGACC